CATCTTCTACTGCCAGAGACAACACACTCAGAGCATTCTAGCAAAAAGGACTGATGGAATAAATATATTATCCCAGCATGCAGAAAATATCACCTCTGGCTGACTTTTTAAACTATATAACTTTAATAGGTAAACTCCTGCATGGTATCTGGTTGTGTTAGTTATTTCAGGGTGGTTTGGGCTGCAATTCTTATACTGTACTGCTCAGATGTTATACCACCTTCTCTGCCCTCTCATCATCAACTCCTCTTCCCTATTCAAAATAATTTTGTGGTGGAAAGGAAATTGAGTCCTCCTGCAAGTCTTAGTGGGCTCTCCATTTATAAGTGTATAATTCTAAAACCAGTTAATTGATTATGTTCCATCAAGTAGATGTCAACTCTTAGCCACCAAGTAGGTAGATTTTCTCCAGGATGATCTGCCCTAAGCCTGGTCTTTCAGATCTTTCTAAAACCAGTAAGAAGCCTTTAAGCAATATAAATTTAATTGTATATTTTTTACCTTTAGGTCTTCCCTCCACTCATTCATTCCATAGCTCTTGGAGATTTCAGGTTGGAAAATATTCATTTTTGCCATAGATGTAGCCAAACGGGTCAAGGATTGTCGCCCACTTCCTCCCATTCCAACAAGTAAAGCATTACCTCCAGATTGCTTGAGCACACGACATATACGAGATAAATGTTCCAGTACATACCTTTGATTAAAAAATACGCACATCAGGAAAAAAAAATTATAATTAAAATCAAGTCTTTTTAGTATAAAGATGGGAATCAACAAGATTTTCCATCATTTTGCAGTGGAAAACCCAAAAGCGGTAGTATAAGCTGTAATACAAATTTAACATAATTTTATAGAAGAAAAAAACCCAAATTCTGCCCACCCCCAATAGACAAGTTTGGCTGAATGCTGATCAACTAATTGTTTATGAATGATTATTTTTCATTCTATATGTTGAAATAAATCATTCCTTATCCTTTATTCAACTTTAAAATTGTGAAAAATTGAAGAAACAATGAGGACCCAAGAAAACAACTTGATGCTAATGTTAAGGGAATAACAACATTAAAAAGTCTGTTTTGATTGTGACTCATAGAATTAGTCTCATATATTTCCAAAATCTAAACAGTTTATAAAAAATACAAGTTTTTGACTTTGAAAAAAATAAAGTCTGTATGATTCAGGAGTTCTGTATAAGCCAATTAATTATTGCTACCAGACTTTGAGCAAACTCCTAAGTGAAATTATACATATTGTTCTAAGTATAAATGAACTACATTAAGATTAAAAGTACTGGGTAAATAGTTGTTGGCAAAAATAGTTTACAAAGCTATTGCACCTAAAAATTACTAGATTCATTCTTGTTTTGTGAGTTTGATTATATTCATCCAAACACAGATCTACAACATCACTGAACATTTGTATATTTGGAATTTCAAAATAAATTCTTTCATCTCCTTCAAGGTCAGGATTCATGTAGTCTCCAAATAGCAGATTTCTCAGATCTTCTTCAGTTATCTATTAGTAGAAAAGAAAAGACATATAGTCTATTTTAACAGCATTATATGCAATTAAGAACCCAGAAATAAAGTTATGATACCTTAACCAACAAATGTAACAAAAGGCTACTGATAAAGATTTGAGTGTGCTATTTTAAGGCTCAAAGACATATTGTGCATAGGCTCATAAATGCAACAGATACACTACAAAGAATCATGGAATGCAATGCAAGAAATACTCAGATTACAACAGTTATATGCAAAATTTAAACTTAAATCAGAAAAGCACAATTGCCACTTAAAGCCTTACTAAGCATTATACTAATGGGTGTTAGTACAATAACCCTTTGCTATGCTAATTTTGCAAGGAGGAGGAGAAAATGTCATTATCTTGATTCAGGTCTAAATAGCAACAATAACAAAATAACTTGATTATTTCTAATTCCTGTACAGCTTAACTTCTACGTATCTTTAGACCTGTGTTTGTCTCATGGAATCAACTTGTCTAGTCCATGCTCTCTGGCAAAATTTGTTAACGGTACTGTGATTCTGAGAAGTCAATGGGGCAGGGGCTCATAGATAGTATTTAGATTCCGAATGGTTTTCAAGGGCAGCCCCACATACAATGCATTGCAATTATTGAACCAAGAGGTGATGAAGGCAAGTACCTCCTGATCCAGAAATTATTGTAACTGGCATACAAGATGGAGTTGTATGAAGGTCCTTCTGGCCACAGTTGCCACCTGCTCTTTAAGCAGGAGCTGTGAGTCCAAGAAGACACCCAGATTATTAATCAATTCAGCACGGATAGTGTAACTCTTTCCAGACAGCTCCCTACAAAATGTCTTATTTACAATTTCTCACTTCCAAAATACAAATTGTACCTAACTGGCAATATCAGTAATTATGAATAAGAAAAAATAAATAATATTTTAACAATAGAATAGGAATGCCTAGGACTTATCTACGGGCACTTGATGGTATTGCGGCAACAATTACGTGGGAAGGTAAGAGTGCAGCAGAAGCTGGTTTCTGGTGGGATCTTTGTGGGCCTTCCTCCAAGGATCTTTCCTTCAGGGCACTTGATGCTAATGGCTATATGAGGGGTCCTGCTAAAGCAGGTTCATGAGCTAGTCTTTGTTGCTTCCCTCTATCTTCACAAAGAATGACTTTCTATTTTTAATGTCAAAAGTAAAGAGGCAAAAGTCACTCTTGTATTTTTATGGTTATGTTTAGCTTCAAAGATATTTGAAAAAAGCATGAAAAGAAAAAAAATGAAGTGAAAAGATTCCTCCAAAGGCAACAAACCACGGAGTGTTTTTTAGAATGGGAGATTTTTCCCTCTCTTTGAAATACACACTGTTACTGTTTCATACTTCTCCTGCTGTAAGGAAGAAAGGAGAGCTTTTGAAACTAATGCAGCAAGAAATCAAGTAGGTCTCTCCTACATTTCTTTCCTATTTCATAGAATACTGCCATCCAAATGCTTCAGTTGGACATCTTCCCAACCATAACTCACTCAAATTGCATAGCCATTGCAATGTGACTCTCTCAAGAGTCATATTCTGTAACCTCTCCAAAGAGCCAGAAGACTTATCAGGAAACATGGGGCACAACGTCTTCATGCTATCCTGTTGTTTTTTTAAAGGCAAGTGAAGAAATTACGGCTATTCTAGCGGAGAAGCAGCTTGCTTTTTGCCATATGGAATGATACACAATTGTAAGATTTTGCTCTATTTCTAGTAAAACTAGTCAAACAGGAATGAATGAGATATAGTTTTATAATAAATATTGTGAATACTTACAGGCGCATTTCCTTGTTTCAGGTGTGAAAATACTAAATCAAATGCTTCTTTGAAATGTTCTTTCACAATTTCTTTTATGAGCCTAAACAGCCAAGCCCTGTCAGCATCATCCACAAGCCGGTCATAAAACACTCGAAATACTTCATGTACAAAGAGACGAATCATTGTATGCTTGCTGACAACCGAATCCTTCTTAATAAGCAAACAGCCTAGGATAACTCGTGAAAAGTCACGCAAATTGAATGTATAATGGGATTTAGCTGGTGTTGGCAACAGGTTTGCCATGGCTTTCTTATATACCTTAATTATTGGGGAAAAAAAGCATTAACATTTAGATTTTATGAACTTCATGTACTTAGATCACCAAACATGTATGTACATATCTACATATGTATTGGATTTCAAGGCCGCCTATTTCCAAAAAGACTCTGGGCAGCTTACAATTTTTAAAGGAATATATAATTTTTTAGAAAGGAATATGACCGCCCAGATAAAACCACACAAATAACATCCCCAAAAAAACCACCAGGGGCTCCACATATACCCTAACCCCTGGCCTGGGGACAGAGTCAGCTCTTAAGAGACTTATGGAACATTTGAAGGATTGGAGTTGTATGTATCTCTGCAGCGGTGCTGTTCCAGAGGGCAGGTGCCATGACAGAGAAAGAGCGCTTCCTCAGTCCTGCAAGATGACAACATTTATCTGAAGGGACCCAGAGCATTCCAACTCTGCCCAATTGTACTAGATGGGCAGAAACATTTGGAGATAGGTGCTTCCTCAAATATCTAGGCTTTATAGATTAAGGGCTTTATAGATGATGATCAGCACCTTCAATTGCACCCAGAAGCTAACTGGTAGCCAATGCAGCTAGTGACACAGCAATGAGACATGAGCGTAGCAAGAAACGCCCATTACTGCCTGTGCCACTGTATTTTTAACCAGCTCTAGCTTCTGGATGATTTTCAAGGGCAGCACCACGTGGAACAAATCTGCAACAGAAACATGAAAAACAACAGGAGGAAAAGCGGATTATGAGAAATAGTGATTTGGAATCAATCTAGCCAAACATTTTGCTATGTTTATAGCAAATATCTTTTGCTCTAAATATTTTTTTATATAACACAAAGGAGTTAAACTACGGAATTTGCTGCCAGCCATAGTGGAAGATATTAAAAGAGGACTTGATAGGGTCTTGGCAGATCAGACTACTAGTGACTACTAAAGGGAGTTGCAGGTGACCATGCACTTAAACCTACTTATTATTTAATTTATAACAGCAAAGTAACATTTGAGAGCCAATAGCACTAAGTGTGCTTATACACACATGCACCTCTCTACAGGTGTCTGCAGATATACAGGTTTTGTCAAAACAGCACAAGTAGTATTGGCAATGTTACAATGCAAGTTCTGCCCCTTATGCATATGTGCAACCTCATGATATACATGCAAAAGAGGCAGTGATTGTTTTATAACAATGCAATGCTCATTTCATAATTTCTCCCCCTTGTGGACGCCTTGCACACACTGTGCCTGAAATACTTCCTCAATATTGTTTCAGAACATATCTGCCCATTTGAAAAATGTGTTGCGCTTTTCCCAAAAATGATACACTTATGAAACCATCTGAATCATCTTGAAAGTCTACATTTTTAGTGGAACTAAAAACACAACCAACTAAGCAGAGAATATGACCTACCTCCATAGTGCCACTGACAATCTGGTTTCCAATTGTGAAATATTCTGGAACAAATTCATTTACTCTGAGATAGAAGGAAACAACGGTAGAAAAAATCCGGACCATTGTTTCATCACTAAATGTATTAATGGTGCAAATATTGAAATGTCTCAGAAAACGAGGAGTTACTGGATTTCTTCCACCACCTGGTGGACCCATGGCAGCCATCAGCTGAACATCAATTAGTGTAATTTTATTTGTGTCTTTTAAGTCATACCTTTAAAAGAAATGTAAATGTAAATATTCAGACAACCACAACCACAGAAACATAGATACACTGTTCTTTGTGCAGCAAGGTTTCCCTTTCCAGTCCTCACCTTTGCACCATTCTGCAAACCCTCCAGATCTGATCCAATGGAAAGAGAATTCCATTGGCAAAAGGACAAAATTGGGTACCATACTACAGGTTCTTAGTACTGTAGAAATAATTACATGAAAGTGGGATTCCATATGGAATCACAGCTGCCTTTATTACATACTGTTATGAGTAATGAACCACTCAGTAAGAAAATAAAACTTTATTCTATGTGGATATTTAAGAAATAGATAGATAGATAGATAGATAGATAGATAGATAGATAGATAGATAGATAGATAGTGACTGACTGACTGACTGACTGACTGACTGACTGACTGACTGACTGACTCTTAATCCTCCATTACTGGAAAAACCTTATGAAAAATGCAGCTTCCCTTTCAATAATATGTGCATAAACTGCAATTAACTTTTAAAAAATCCACCTTCGAATTAAATGTGTTTGATACATGGCTGACTTTTCCAGATGATGGATTGTTGTTTTTCTTTTTTAACCACAACCAGGAGGGCCAACAGGATGCTTTTCTGGCTAACTGTAACAGTGACTGCTGCCTCTCAGGTTTGGTATTGGTGCATCTACCAGTTATGGTCATGCCTTTCTGGGGAAGAAACAAGACGCTGAGCATGTTGGTTGCTCAGGAGAGTCCTGCTGGTCACTGGTTGCATCCAGCATAGCCACTGGGGGTAAAGAAAAGTGACTGGTGCACTTCTCTAGAGCAGATGGCAGGCTCAACAACTCACTGTGACAAAAATCGGTGTCATAATTCTCAAGAGTAACTGGCATTACATGGAGGATCTTTGGATGTTCTAGAGATCTCATTAATAGGCCAGTGTTGCTCTCCTGACCACTGAAAGGGTTAAATGCCTTATCTAAGGTGTCCTTTTTTAAAAGTGAAGGATTATAGATGTAATCATGGAGGGTTTGTGCTGCTATGACACAAAAATATCCATGTCTACCTGCTTCAAAAACTCTTGCTCTGAAGAAGGACCCCTCATCTTGAACTATGGATGGCAAACTAGTTTATATTACTGCTACTACTGATGCAGTAGTCCCCCCAGAAAAGGCAGAAAAAGTGAAATAACAATGGCAATGGTATATCCTCGCATCTGAAAAGAAAGACGTTTTGTGCCACTGCTGGCCTGATAACATTCAAACATCTACTTATTATATATAATAAAAAAACAGTTACCAGATTCCATGATCAAAAAACTGTCTTAAAAGTTCAATTGGAGGCTGAGCTCCATATTGCTCCAGTGCAGGCATATTCATATCATCCACAAAGATTACACATTTCTTTCCTACAGGTGGCCCAAATATTCCTTTCCGCCTTTTGTCCAACCTGGCCATGATAATATTCTAAAATAAAAAAGCAGAACATGTTTCCATTCACTAAAAGTAGCTTATGTGAAATAACACATCAAATTCTTACATTCTTTTTTTAAATGTAGGTTAAGATGAGCTACAGTATGTATACTAGGATTGTTGTGTGTGTATGCCCAGTATGTTTAAATATAATGCCTTTATGAAATACATTTATAAGCTTCCTGAAGGTCCATTTATAACCTTTTCTAGTATACAAATTCCAGCAGAACATTGTAGAGATGTGAATGTGGATACTTATTTAAGTTTTACTGAATGTGAAAAGTTGTTTATCAAATAAAGCATAGCAAGTTGCTAGATATATTAAAAATAAATTGGTTGAATGACACAGACATATCAGTGATTATGAATTAATCTGAAAGCAAAGAACAGCTGTTAAAGTAAAAGAAAAACAACAAAATAATTTCAAATATTATATGGTGTGACAAGGATGAGTGTAATCACCGTATTGTCGAAGGCTTTCACGGCCGGCATACGAAGGCTGGTGTGGGTCTTCCGGGCTGTGTGGCCATGTTCTGGAAGTTTTGTTTCCTACCGTTTCGCTGGTCACAGATGCTGGTTTTGCCGGTCACAGATGCTGGCGAAACATTAGGAAACAAAACTTCCAGAACATGGCCACACAGC